CAATTTAAAAGATAATTTTGCAAGTCAAAAAAAATAAAATGTGTCGTAAAACTGTGAAGTAACACATTTGTTTGTGTGAAACGCTCAATGAACTACATCTCTGGTCAACAACACACGTCACCAAGATGGCCGTCACTACTGTCTTGTCAACAAAACGATTGACTATCCTCACTATCACCACAATGAAACACGTCCTGAAGAATGTCATGCAAAGCTGCCTGCCTGCCTTCCTTTGATTCTCTCTGAACTGCCTGGTCGTTTTAATGTTTAATGTCAACCATTTGTGCAGATAGCATGAAGTAGAGAAGATCGCCGATGCTAACGTTAGCGTTAGCATTTCTCCCCCGGGCTTAAATGGTGTATTATAGAATGATCACACCGGTGACAGTACTATTCAAAGGGTTCACGAAATATGACTACTACTCTTACTGTTTAACATTTTGGGTTACTTAATGTTACTTCATGTTAAGGCTAATAAAAATGACAAGGCTCTAATGCTAACTACTAGCTAGGTAGCTAACTTGATCAAGCCACTCCTGGTCCTTTCATCAGGCGGGAAGCAAAAGAACGAGCAAGACCCATTGCTGGTAACAACCTGGTACTAAGCACACAGGCATCTTGTTAAAGTGATCTTATCTTAGCCAGCGCCATATAGATAGATTATATCTATATTGCGCTGATCTTAGGTATCTGAATGGTGGAGGAAAACAATTGTGACATCACTTACGCGACTCTGGGATTTGTAGTCTTTCTAGTTACGTATTTTTCATAGTCTTATATTTCAACAGTTTTACGACAAACTGTGACTTTTTTGACATGGAAATTATTTTTTAAGATTGACAAACATCATATGTGTAATTCATGGCACAATTCAAACGGGATCGAAAGATAAGTTTTCTCTCCCCATTGACTTCAATGCATAATTTTTCCGAAATAAGGTCCCATTACCCGGAAGTAGGTGGGCGTGACTTCGCCACTCTATAGAGTATATATATATAGTATACATATATATATGCTATAGCTAGCACGTTAGTTAGCATTACAGCCTTGTCATTTTTATTAGCCTTAACATGAAGTAACATTAAGTAACCCAAAATGTTAAACAGTAAGAGTAGTAGTCATATTTCGTGAACCCTTTGAATAGTACTGTCACCGGTGTGATCATTCTATAATACACCATTTAATTCCGGGGGAGAAATGCTAACGCTAACGTTAGCATCGGCGATCTTCTCTACTTCATGCTATCTGCACAAATGGTTGACATTAAACATTAAAACGACCAGGCAGTTCAGAGAGAATCAAAGGAAGGCAGGCAGGCAGCTTTGCATGACATTCTTCAGGACGTGTTTCATTGTGGTGATAGTCAATCGTTTGTTGACAAGACAGTAGTGACGGCCATCTTGGTGACGTGTGTGGTTGACCAGAGATGTAGTTCATTGAGCGTTTCACACAAACAAATGTGTTACTTCACAGTTTTACGACACATTTTTTTTTTTTTGACTTGCAAAATTATCTTTTAAATTGACAAACATCATATGTGTAATTCGTGGCACAATTCAAACGGGATCGAAAGATAATCTTTCTCTCTCCATTGACTTCAATACATAATTTTTCCGAAATAAGGTCCCATGGGGCTCAACCGGAAGGGGAAGGACTTCGCCACTCTATGGAGACCGACGTTGCCACATGGCCGCCATCTTGCTACAGGCAGTGCTCTCATTCATAACATTATGGTTTACTATTTAAATAACCATAGCTTGCTCAATTTTCAACCAATTTTCAAACGGTTTGGTTTTTTATAAACATCAAAGATGTAGTTATGATACTGCATACTTATAATCATGGACTTTCATATGAAAATAACATTAAGCAGATAAAGCAATAGCTATACACACACACAAGGTATTTATATTAAATATTTGCCGGTGTATATATTTCCATTTATTTTATTATATTGTTAATATTTAAAATAAATTATAAAATTAAAATATATTTATATTTTATATATAAAAATCGGTCTCATGTTACCACTCTGTAAGCCAAGAGTTGTTAATTTAGCAATGCCTTAGCTTGAAGAACAGGGACACAACTAATGACAATAGTATATGGTGGTATATATTATTTAGATATTGACACCTTTATCAGAAGAACCAAACCAACATAAAATGAGCTCACTGACAGGCCAGTTCTGTCTCATTTATCACAATAATTTTTGACATGAGATCTTCATATCGTCTTAGTTTTGTATTTAGTTTCTAGATTTTTAAACAAATCCAGAACCTTTGAAATACGTTACCACTTCACAGCACGGTGCGCTGAGTCCTTGTAGTCGAAAAAAAAAACTTCTGTAGTCCATTTACTGTTGTTTGTCCATTTACTGTTGTTTGTCTTGTTTTACCCCGGCTGATATCTCACTAAATCCACTGTTTTAACTGTTTTAATTGTTCCCTATATTGCCCCTATGCCCTGTAAGGTGTCCTTGGGTGTTATGAAAGGCGGC